AACATTCATTTTGTTAGTTTAACGGTACTTGTCTCAGCAATGATAATTTTGTACACTACAATTATGCCACCACTGGTTACGTACAGTACGACCAATACTTTAAGATTGAAATCATTAGTGGTTTACAGTTCACTGAAGTTCGCCGATATTTTAATTATTTTACACTTTTTTCGCTACAGGTATAAGTTACAGTACCTTAATTTGAAATCAATATCTTGAATTATAATTATAATTTTATAACTAATATGATCAAAGTGTTGGTTGGCCCTGATATGGCTGCACATAATGTACACATTCATTACGCACCGTATGTGTGACTCCAGGATATCATTCAGTGATCTGTTTCTCGAGTTTTATCGGACACTCACTAACCAAACGGCGACTAAACTCAAAGTTTTCTCAAACTTCAACATTGCGTACAACAAGAATATTCTGTATATTCTGCTATTTTTATGGATAATATGTGTTAACTTTATATCCAAGGCGTTTAGTAGTGTTTTTAGGAACTCCTATTTTAGGTTCAAACCTACTTTGATAGCCGAATCTCTGGAAGATCTCATGGATAACAAGGCTCTAATGATAGCTGGAAGGGCTGCCATTCCTTATTTAAAAGCGTATGAGGACCCATATTTTAAGGATATTGCCACGACTATAGTTACCAAGGTCACGACTTACGAGAACAAAATCGGAATAAACACAAAAAACAATAGTTTAGATTTAATTAATGAGCGCTTACTAACTGATTTATATGGCGGAGGGGCTGTTTTGGTGCTTAACTCAATTGTGGGTGATATCTTTATACAATTTTTAGCCGGTACCAGTTTGCACCGATCAACATATAAATACGGTCAAACCTATGCTAACTTAGTCATTTCTAAACATAATATATATTTTCATTTAATTTATAAATTGTAAGTAGTATAATATTAGTCATATTTTATAAGCAATCTTATATGTTATATTTTAGTTTAAAGTTAGGCTATGAATGTGGTTTAATCGCACACACCCAGGCAATTCAGCACATGGCGACAGGGGTTATGGTTAAGGGATGGGTAGCTGATACTCTAAGAAAAATGTCAAAACACACTCAAATCTACGTGCATTGTTTGGACAAACCAGATTTGAAAATATCACTTGGTGATTTCTACCGTGGATGCCTGTTAACACTGTTCATCACATATACGATGGCTATTTTGTGTCTTATATGGGAATTGCGTTTAAGTATTAATGACTGGTAATTGATTTAATTACTAATTATGCAAGTTATAAAATTTATTATGACTATCTATTTGTTTAAAATTTTGTAACTAGTTTGCGAGCGGTTTCACATTATTTCAATATAATCTGGTCAAACATCAAGGTCTTAATGTTAAAGCTCTGTGGTTTATTATGTGTAAGAATTAAATAGTTGTTTTTGTTATTTTGTTTATGTTTATTATCTGTTATTAAAATATATTTTGCATTTAATTCACAATTATTTTATAACAAAAGATTTTTATATAAAAATATTTGCGTAATATTTTTATTAATATCCATATAATATGTAGTTTAGCAATACTAATTAGTATTGACTTTACTGTATATCAAATGTTGTTAATTTTTAACTCAAATTATTAGTTGATAATGGCTAACTAGTACATTTAAAAATAATAAAAGTGAAATTAGTATAATTATTTTTATACTGTATTTGACATTTTCTCAATAATAATTTACTAATTTTATTAAAATATTGATTTAAATAATTAAATTTTGTTGATTTTTATACATATACTTGTACTAATATAATTATATAAATAAACTATACAAGTTAGCAGTACTGTACAGTATATTAGTGCAAATTAATAATAAATATAGAACCACCTAGTTTTTAATATTAATATTATGACATACATAATTGTATTTTGTTTATTTACAAAGTGGATAAATAAATACTGTATTATCGTCTGTTTAGTAGATACATAATTATAATAAACTAAAAATTTCAATAAAATTCAAGATCATCTACAATAAATTATTTTAAAAATATTTTACAATTTTTCTCTTTTAAATATGAATTATACGGCATACTATAAGTCATTCCTTAAAAAACTGCCAATTCAATCAATTAGTTACGAAAATAACTCTGCTCACATTTTAATACATGTATGTAAGCAACATAATGTCACTCAGTTCGATGACACTGTTTATCTTGCTAAACCCGAGTACATGGTTTGTTATCTTGCTTGAAATAATTTTGAACTAATTAATAAGATATTTCTATTATTTTTGGCATCTAGACTCTTTTTGATTCATTTAATCTATCATTTCTACAATACTTGTTATGTGTACTAAAACTTAATGTCTTAGTTGTGAAGCGATGTATGGATCAAGCAATAAAGGTTACAATTGAAATTAAAATTGTAATTTCTATTTGTAGTTTAATAATAATATTACTCCTAATCAATTAGCTTAATGGAACCTGTCTTAGCAAGGGCAATTTTGGTAACTATGATTATTCCACCACTAGTTTCGTACAATATGGCCAGTATTTCCAGACTGAAATCATAAGCGTTTTATTGTTCACTGAAGTTCGCCGTTATTTCGGTTATGTTTCATTATTCTCGCTACAGGTTAGCAATTAATCTTAATTTAAATAATAATAATGTTTATGTGATTAAAGTGTTGGTTGGCCCTGATATGGCTGCACATAATGTACACATTCATTACGCACCGTATGTGTGACTCCAGGATATCATTCAGTGATCTGTTTCTCGAGTTTTATCGGACACTCACTAACCAAACG